CAGCACCTCTTGCTTTTGACTATATCGATCACATCTTCCATTGATCCCCATCACTCGTACGTTTACTTTCTCTTCCCTGCTATGTTCCTCTTTATACTTTTACTAATGTAATACCCAATTTTATCTCTCAGCATTGATTTTCATCTTGATCTTCATGAATCTTCACCTCCTACAATCGATCTCGATCTCGACTGCCTGCATGTTGGTCTCACTCCTCTCTTTTAATTTTGATCTTCTTGGATTTGAACTTCTAGTAAGTTTACTTCCTTATATCTCTTCTTGATTTTTAGTTTCAATCTGATTCTTTTAAATTTGTTTGCCTCCATCCTCCTTCTAGGTACCCACTCGATTGATTCCCATCCTCATATATGCAATCCCCACTCGCACTCATGCCCCATCACCTCATCCTACCTCTCTCTCGCTATCAATCACTGATTCATCTCTCAGTGTTCTATTTTTACTTTCTAACTGTGAGTTCTCTATCGATCTGACCCTTTCTTTAAACTTTTACTGACTCTTTTTCATTTAATTTATTTGTTTCTTTCCTCGATCGTCCTCTAGGTACCTATCAATCGATCTCCACCTCACTTGATTCGATTTCAACTTAAAACCTTTCATCACCTCATTTGTCTCACATTCCCCACTTCTTTTTAGTTTATCTTCCCTCCTCTTGTATTCTCATCTCGCTTTGATTAAGATTACTTTATTTATCTTACTCGATTCTTTTATTGTCTTTAGTTCTAATTTTAATTATAAAAAAACTTCCTTCTTTATTCATGTAATATCATTCTACTGGCTCATTTAATATGATCATAATATATATTTAGTCTTGAATTGAAGTAACAAAATTGTATCTTCTATTGAATGCCTTCTTAGTCCGCTGAGCCCCAACCTAGCCATGTGAGAGAATCTTGATCCGGTGAGGAAAGTAAAAGAATGATAGTTGTAAGAAAAAATTGTTCACACCAAAGCTTCAGTTATAAAAGGCTGAGCTTTAAGTGAATCTGATCACCACAACGGCTGCTACCGATGACGAAGGATTTGCTATACCTCCCCCACTCAACCGGAATGCACTTATGCAAGCTATTGATGGTGCCGACAAGGCTGTGAATCTTAAACCCGACAAACGCCAGAGGGTATTTTCAGCAGATGATTCCTCTGACTCGGTGCGTTCAAAAATCTCAAGCAAGAAGGCACGGAACCCCAATGCAGGCCGATTCTTGACATTGATTGGAATCGACTCGTCTCCTTCCCAACCTACTACCTCGTGAAAAGGCGCCAATCAGACCAGCCCTCAAGATTTGTTTAAATTTCAAGAGCAAGCTTCTAAACAACGTGATGATCTCATAGAAATCCAGAGAGATGCTGTCAGGGTTCAGGCAGACGCGGGCAAGGACATGGGAACAGCCATGAAGAGCATGGCTGATACTTTGAAAACAATCGTTACCCCCGACCAAACCAAGGCTCAAATGAATAAACTGAAGCTTAAACATATGATCAAGATGCAAGAGGCTGAACTCGTGGACAAAGCACTTGAAAGAAAAGCGAAACTGGTTGGAAGGTTTGCCCTCAGTGGTATGAGCATGATCAATGCCAATGCTCTCGCTGATCAGATGATCAGCGAGGCAGAAAAAAGTCAGTATGGTTCAGTTTCATTAATTTGTTTCAATATATTCTTGTGTTGACAAAAACCCTACTCATAACGGCAGGTGTAGCTAAAGTGCGCGAGTCGTCACCTGGCGAAGAATGAATTGTTCTTCTGCGGCTGGAGAATTAGTCCCGTAGTAAGTAATACCGGTCATATTGCTTAATGTGGCACTAACTGACATTTAGATGATTCAGTTAGTTTACTAAGGTTCTCATTACTTTTGAAAATGAGAACCGCTTTCAAGATCGATGTTAAAAAGGGCCATATTGAATCAACAATATCAAAGTGATTCGGTCCCGAGCAAAAAAAGCTTCTTATAAGGCAGGCTTTCTCTTTTATAATAGTTCCAAAGATGTCTGTAGTTACTATGCAATTAAAGTGTAGCAAACAAAGAAATGTACCAGACTGTTGACTCAAATACGTGAAAAACCCATGTGAGACCGAAAGGACCAATATGATGAGTGAGCGAATGTGACATGTTGTTAATGAGTAAGTGGACAACAAAGAGATACGAGGACATAAAGTAATGGTCCCAAATACATATGATTTGACTGATGTATTTCATAATACTCTATGTGGATCAAATGCGGATGTAGAAGTCAAGAGACATAAAATGCAAGCATACAACTACAATCATATTCACAGACCATGTTGTGCTAAGTAAATTATAACTAGTGAGCCACTTGATAATTTGCAAACAGAGCTGCTCGAGTTTCAAATTCATCACGAGGGAGTTGATCATCTTCCGGATAATCTTCTTCATCGCTTTGAATCCCCTCATCGTGTTGAGGTGGGGGTTGAAAAAACTCGTTACCACAATCTTGCACATCTATCAGGAAGTTATGAAGCACTACAGTGGCTGACAAATGTAGGTTCAGCCTTCTGGCCGAACGAAAATCTTTGATAATTACACGACTCTGAAAGAGAGACTGCCACCGACCCTTCCAGAGCCAATTGGTGTTTTTGATCACATACCGAAGGCGGCTGAGTTCTTTGTTAAAAGCCCTCTGTAGGGGGGGGAGGGGCATACCCCGCGGCTTTTTGAAGTTTGTGACCAAGTAGCGATTTGAAGGATAACCGGAATCGCCAATGAGGTATTCGCCGGGGCTAAAGAAGCGCTCTGGATGTTGCGATAACTATGGACACCATGGAAAGTGGTCAGTTATACTCATGCGCCTTGGAGGAAACATAAGCGTCCATACTAACCTTTGTGTTTCGATACACTCGTGAATCATGGGCACTGCCACACCACCCATGAGAAGCATAAATGATATGCTTCTGGTGATCACACACCAACATCGAGTTGACCGCATAGGAGGACTTCCGAGTGCGAAAGTCCTCCATGTTCTTCTCAGGGCCAGTATGCAGGTTGATTAGGGTTCCATCAATGAACCCTACACAACCTTTGAAAAAACCTTTCTTCGCAACTGCCTCCTTGATTTTCTTTCGTCCTATCACATCGGGCCAATTGAAAAATTGGCGATTAAGGGCCACAATCGCAATTACACACCGGTTTGTGTAATTGTACACGCTTCCTTCTGAAAGACATCATGAGATAAAAGTTCAACACCATACAACCTCGATTCAGTACATCAATCTTACCCGATATCCCAAAACCAAGGGCAAGCAAACATGGACTAGCACCATTTCCAGTCAACCCTAAATAAGCCAGTGCGACCAATAGTTGCCATTCGACTGCGGCTTGTGGCTTATTTGACTGGTTTTCAAACACCGGATGATCCCCAATCATGTTGAGCAATTGAATAAATGACGACTTTTGCATCCGGGCCTACAACCACATGATAGTATAATTGGTTTGTGAGCAAAGTGACTAAACAGACGTGAAAAAGGTGGAACATACCAGTCGCATGAAAACTGCCTCTGGCTCAGTAAAAAGATTCATGAAACGTTCCGAACACCAACTTCGCCGGCCTCGAGATAAACGTGGAGTTAGATAGCGACGAGAGTTGATCGCGAAAAATTCATTGATCAAATTCTCGATCTGCTGATCGTGCAAAGTCTGTAAGATGTGGTGTAAGTTTCGATTTAAATTCTCAAATGAATCAGTAAACCATTTCATGCCCATGCTGATTATTGCCATTGATATGCTAATCAGCTTTGGGTTGCGAGGTGATTTGTTCGAGATCGCAGACAGATGGGTCACTGCTGAGACTTGTAGAACAGCGGCTAGATTTGAAAGGCCAGATGTGATAGGTGCGTGATACGCAGGGTTGTTGTCGGATAAAGTGGTCAGAGCAGCACGAAAATTTGCATGGAGGAGCTGGCGGCGGGTTGGTGGCGCCATTCGAAGCTGATAGAGGTGGTGGTGCTCGTCAAGAGGTGTTGTATATATGTAGCCGGAACTCCAAGATGCGTGGGGGGAGAGGTCAGCTGGACTTCAAGTTCGGCACTCCAAGTTGACGAATCCAACTTTGAGAGACCCCCCAAAAACTTGAAGTTGAGCAAAAGCAGCTCGCTTCGTACAGCTCATGTACGAACTTATGTAGATCTCATACAAGCTCATACACTCATACACTTCATGTACAAGCTGTACGCAATTACAGAGTTCCAAATTCTCGACTTCAAATTTCCAACTCCAAATTTCTGTTTTATATTTGAACAAGTCTAGTGTAATATTCGAGGTTGAGGGGCTAACAAGGATATTTGCACTGATACTATTTGCACTCAAGATTGAGTGTGAAATCTTTGGGTGTAAAAATCTAATTAGGGCGGGGTCATTTAGGATTTTACACAGAATCATTTACACTTGATTTTTTGCACTCGAGAAAAATCGAAATATTGAGTGTAAAATTCTACTTGACCCCCGTGTAGATTGATTTTTACACTCATCCGATTTTACACTCAAAATTGAGTGTAAATCGTTGAGTGTAAAATTCTCCTCACCGATTGAAAATTGAAATAAGGAAGTGTAATCCACTGTGGATGTCTTGTATTTTGGTTGTCCTTCTGCTAGCGCATATCTCGTACGTGTGAAAATCTATGACTCATGACACAGTCACACACGATTTCTCAATGTGACACCTTCTATTCTTGCTCTTAGCATGTTGATTTTGGCGACGCTGATCTTGATTAATCATATCCGAACGGGACATTACTGGTTCATGAAAAAGTTCAAAAGTGAGACAATCATTTCATATCCCCACCTATCCAGTAATGATCCCGGTCTCTGATAATTGGACCGTTATATATTAGGTGGCCTTCTAAAGCCTGATCGTGTACTTGCGGAGTCGATAGGGTCAATATTATATGCAGCACGTCAGTGATCCTTATATTGGATTGAATACTATGTTGTGGCTTACAAAGGCAAAGTCAGACAGTCACCATTGTAAACATGTCCTGTCAGCTATACACAGACATCGTCCGACGTCCCGTGCGAGGAAAACTTTTTCTCGAGTGGTATCGCTTCCCTATAGCCGGCTTCATGCTGTGGTAGGATCTTTCTGACATTTGCCTCTTTCATGGCGATGTATGTTACTTACCTTCTTGCAAGCTCAGGTGCATCATGTGGGGTAGTGTCGCCAACCGAGCCCGCGCTTTTTGGGACCCCACATTCAGACAAGACTCCCATCGCGAGCGCTGTGGGATGCCTTCATGGGTGACAAACCTACTCAATGGAATATTTGTTTTCTGGGCTGTGGCAAACGTTCCAGGTAGCTTAGTATTTTGATTGGATGATCTTCTCTTGTTTTCAGTCCCCAGTACCATCATGCTTATCTTGCATGCAATTTAGCCCTTTGGTTGCTATATATTCCAGCTTATGTTCCACAAGCTGATATTTTCAACATACTGGATCGCGTGACAAAGGAACTACTCTTGGCGTCTACCGACGCGGATGCAATGCAATTCTCATGGTTTAAATTGGGAATGATCATATCCCCATTGGAAAGACTCCCAGAACTTTATGTAAGTCGGATGCTCAAATACTCGGATTAGAAGTGAAAAGTCACTTCTCTCACTGACTTGTGTTTTTCTGACAATATTGCCTGTGAACAAACATCATAGCAACGATTTGCGTCGGCATACCTTAAAACTCACTATGCTTTTATGATACTTCTCGTTATCCTGATGACTGTGAGTCAAATATAAAATCCAAGCCTTCTCAAATGAACAACCATCGCAGGACTTTTGTTTGAGACTGATCTGATTATTTTTTGCAGATATATATGCTTTTCGTCTACTTAACGTCTCGACAATACAAGACTTTGTATAAAAGTAAAACACACATTCCGTTCGGAACGGATCCAAATATAAGGTTGAAGGTCACTTACCGTGAAGAAATCAAAGCGCTTTTTATTGAAGCAGGCTGCCTGTGCTTCTGGTTGACATCATATTTCCCGGTGTTTGTGTGGACGGTAAGAGATTTTGGTTAATGTCCGTATGTTGGAATGAGTTTGACATCCTTTTTCGGAACTTGTGACCAATGTTTAGGTAACTGCAAGGTCTGGCGAAGTTCTCATGCTTTCCCCACAATCAGTGATGGTACCTGAACTGGTACGCATCACTCTCTCTGATGATTTATTTTGTGAAGGCAGAAAACCTTGAGAGTGTTCATTCAGTAGCGTCTGTTTCTTCTTTATAAACCTCAAGAGTATGGTCTTAGTATCAGCCGTCGTTGGGAACATGTGAGCAATGTCTGCTTTTCACCTCTAGTAACTTGCCTCTGACTTCATATCTAGTGTTTTGGCATACCGGTTGGCCTCAACTAAGCGAATGTTGGCGTGTAAGACCACGCCAATACCCTTAAGCCAAGTAGATCTTGATGGTTCAAAGATGCAGGTTACAAAACCTGAAGCTGATCGTCTAAACACACCAAAGGGTCCTTGGACAAGCTGTACTACCCAGGTAAAGGATGATCCAGAGACTTTATCAACGGGGAAAGATTCTTCTCATCTGAGTCATGATATCTGATTTGTTTTCTGCTCTCAAGTCTGCCATCACACACATTATGACATGAATGCCTTTTTTTGTACATCACAGATGCATGTTTATTTTTTGCATATCTATTTTATGACAAGGATACCCTCTTTATACCCAACTGACACTGCATAGATAATGCATTTCTCCATAGTGAAAAATTATTGCATTTATAAGAAAATGATTGACAAAAATTGAACCTGGAATTGAGAGCTCAGTTTTGGCCCAAAATGCTTGGAAAAAAATCCTAGGAAAAAAACAATGCTCTTTGTCCTGAAACATTTTTTGGGGTTCTTTGAAGCCTTATACTCAGGATCAACTTAACAAGCAATTTAAGATGTTTTTCCTGAAATTTGTAATCTCAAAGAAGTTCAACTTTGTGATCTTTCCTGTTTTTTTTTGCATTTTTTGGTGCCTTTGTCTTGAAAAGATGCAAGTTATAAGATAAAAAGTCTTCCAAATAAATTGCAAATGCATTTTGGGTCAGAAATGCATCCAAGTTTTGCAGATTGTCTCCAAACCATGTAAATACAATGATGCATCCTTTGTTGTGTTGCAAAAAAATTTGGGGAAGTAGATTACAATGAGGTCCTTGAGTTGATATTGGCCTTCACTTGTCACTTTTTTTTCAGATTCTTCTTGTCACTTTTGAAGGCAAAATTTGGTGGACCAGTTGTGTGTTTTTCTATGTTATTTCAGGAAAACCTTCAACATCACCAAACTGAATGCTGGGATTTTTTTAAATTGGCCAAATTCTACCAACAGGAAGAACATAGCAAAATTTGACTTACCTGATTTTTTCAGATTTTTTGGACCAATATCAAGTATGTCATTTTGAATACTAGATTCAATCATTTTTCAACACATGATATACACAGTGTAATGCTCTGATTTAAAATCTACTGTGAGCATATTTATATCTATTTGCCAATTGGTGTATCATATACTGTGCGAGAAACTTCAATTGTTTTGTATCTTTCTTATAATCAATCAGTACTCTGGCTCTATGCCCAAGCCCCCAGATAACTCTCTTGGGAATCCTGATTACCTACACTGTCAGTGAATTTCTGCTGAGAGATACCCTGCATGCCATTGAAGGCTCCAGAAAAGAAGTGCAAAGCTTGCAGCACACTGGTTGATGACTTCACCAAGGATACTCAAGACTCCAGAGCCCAAATTATTCAAGATAAAGTTGAACATACTCAAGCTGGTGAATCAGATCCATTACACTGCAAAGATTTTCCATTTTTCCTAGGGGAATAATTTTGCTTTGAGAATGAGTGATGAGATTTCTGGAATCAACTTTTTGTCACCTATATTTTTTTTTTTTGATTGCCTTGGAAAAATGGAAAACTTTTGTAGTGTTAGACTATCAATCATGATGACCTGATGAAGGCGCTTGTGCCATTGATTCAAAGGGCATTCTAGAAATTTGATTTGAAGTCTTCTTTTGAGAGAAATTAATTAGCAAAAGTTGCTTAGGAGTAGGCAATTACATCAAATCTGGACATGTGATGATTGATTGCATTTCAATATGTAATGGAAGATTCTGGCAATATGATTCTTGGAACTGCAGAGACACACAGAGCACTGTGTCTGTGTTGGCTTTGCTAGTCGACGAGCGCACCAACTCCCTTTGAGGCAGAAAGGGAAGTCGTGCGCGCTCGTCGACGAGCAAACACTACCCGGACACGGTGGAACTTGTTCTGGTCTTGATTCATGAAGCTGTGACTCAAGTATATAGACCCTTTTCACCAGCTTGATGTCTCTGACCAAAACTCTTCAGGCCAATACCAAAGTCTAAGATTTCTAAGTTTTTTCAGGGATGGCAAGAAGAGATAGGTGAAGCTTATTGTATGAGTTCAGACCAAATATTTTCTTGAGTGCATGATTGCTGAATTGCATAAAACACTAACCAAACAAGTTAAAGACTGCAGAGCCTAATTTTACATTGGAGAGACGGCTGTTGATTCAAAGCGGAGAATACAATCACAGTGTCGTTTTACTACTCACTAGCATGCCAGTGAGTACAATCACCTCAATCCAATCTCAGGTCAATCTCAAAACAATGTCACTTCAATCTCAATACAATCTCAATGTTTGGCCTAGAGGTGGTTCTATCTCAATAATCACAATTGTGAATTTATTTCAGTCAAAATTCTCATTGACTGATTGAGGGTGGCAACCTTGAAAATCCAAAGTATGTTGAGAGTTTGTTGAGTGAAATGTGGTCAAGATTTGGGTTGAGTTATATGAACAGGGACAGATTGAATTCTCTGTGAAGTACCTACACCACAAGGACACACGGATGTCCCAGGGACAACCGGTTTTTGTTGCAGGGGGACGGACATCCTGACAAGACTGATCCAAGGAGCCCGGACCCAAACTGGATTTTGTGACACCCCACGGGCTTCCAAAAGTGGTTGTATTTATTCTACATAGGGTATTGGCAGGGCGCCTGTACGGGCTGTGCTGAGAGCTCTGGTTCTAACTGAACTGTTGAGGGACTGTGCTGTTGTCATGACAATGTCTTCCTCGATGACCACCAGCTGTCTTTGGAGTTCATTTTTTAAGTGATTTAGTAACATCCATGGCAAACCCTTCCAACACCCAGAGGATGTTTTTGACATGGTTGATACATTTCAATAAAGTGCAGTGATACAAAGATATAAGACTCGGTCATATTGGATTGATCTGTAAAGAAATGACAAGAACAAAAACTACAAAAAAACTCATGCAAGGGAATTTGTTCAAATGAGCAAAACTACACAATTTTTCAGACTAACTCAGCAAATGGGCAAGGTTCTTGCTTGGTGATGATCAGACTAAGATTTTCATGAAATATTGGTCCATTGGTCTGCTCTTTAGCACTGCCAGTTGTACCAATCTGTTTCACCCCTCGAATCTTGTTTATTCATTTGATTTGATCCAACAGCAAACTCCTAATGTTTTTGAAAGCCAGTCTACAAATCGAAAAGAGAGGTCAGCTGCAAATCATACTCACAACGACATACTTTGTAGAATCCGTTACTAACCTTGTGTATATGAGGTATGAGACTCGTATATATCCAAAGCTCAAATGATTGTATGTATTGCCAATGCAAGAGATGAAACACAGTCAATGTGATTGTAGGATGAAGAGACCGAAACGATTGTTCTTCCTACATAGCTCAGTTAATGGGAAAGGTTCCTGCTCGGTCATGATCAGACTCAACTTCTCATGGAGTTCTTGCCGGTCTCTGGATCTTCTTTCATGAGCTTGAGGATAACTGAGAACAGAAAGGTCACATCCGATAAAGATAAAGATACAGACTGTGCTTGCAATTGACACGACTCACATCAAGGTAGTTACAGTCACCGCTATGTACCGTTGACTCGGTCAAGATGAAGACAATTGATGTGGATATCAAGAATCTGGAGACAAAGCCCTCTGAAGAACATAGTCTAATGATGGTCTGGTCTGAGGAAGAGATTGATTCAAGAAGATGGATGATGAGATTGGGGTGTTGAGAATGGCAGTTTAGGGAAGGGGCGTTAGTGTTGAAACAAGGAGGGTGAAAAGTTGAGTTTGATTCAAAAGTAGCAATGATGAGAATTGATGATAGGTGAAAGGCAGGCCTGAACTTTGTGATGAAGATTTCGAAGTGGATTTGGTTTGTGAAGTTGTTTCCCATTTGGCCCTCCAATTTCTCCCTTTGCTTTTGAATTTCCCCTTTTTCTAGAAGGTTCCTTCCTTTCATGAGTGGTCAGCGCACGGACATTACGGACATCCTGGCCAAGTTGAAGGTTGCAGACAACCTGATGCACACCTGAAGGAACCTACCAGATGACATGATCTCAGGTCCTATGAAGACATCCAGGCTTTAGTCCAAAGACAGCCTCAATAGGGGAGTCCAGGTCAGGCTGCGAGCTGGGGGGATTCTTAAGCATCCAAGATCTGAAAGCCATCATGACATCCTGGGAGTGTGCCGAAGACGTCGGCACTCAAGGACGCCCAAAAGACACCCTGATTGGGGACGCGGAGTTGAGCATCGGGTCTCAGACGGCTCGGACATTGTTCTGCACAAAAGTGTCTTTGTGGTTTACTTAAAAGGTGAAGTTACATGTATGGCTGTCACAGATTGTGAAATCTGTCTTTCACATGTAGCAAAGGATTGGGCACAGGTGATTGATTTTTTAGCATGTGGTGAAGTAGTACATGTGTGTTGGCATGAGGGTGGAACACAGGTGGCGCAAGGGACTGAAACTCATATCATACTAGAGCAAACTATCCCAATTTCAATGATAACAAATGTTGGAATAAATGATTCACAGTCAAGTTCTTTAAGTTACGTCACATGTGATCAATTCATTTAGTGTCATTGAATACTTAACGTTGAGTAAATGCCATGAAGGATATTCTAGAAGTGAGATAGTACAAGTTGTGGTCAAAATCTTCACCTTGATCTTAATCAGAGTCAGTTGAAGTGTGTGAAGAACACCAATTCATTCATAGAAGTAATGTAATGATCTAGGTTCAGTCAAGGTTTTGAATGAGACAGATTCAAATTTGTGACTATGTTTCAACTGTGTTGTTATTTCTTCCTTATATGAGAGCCTCTATTTGTCTTTAGAATATTTTCCCCCTGTCAAGGAAAAATGTTCTAAAGGTAAAGTATTTTTTTGTTTCATCCAATTGCTCATTAAATTAATTGCTGTAAATGTTTTTGTGTCATGATTTTCTTTTGTTCTTTTTACTACACCAATTTCTTTTGTTTTCTCACTAGGTCTGTTGAGAGTTATGCTCATCCCATCTTCACTGCCAGCTGTGTCTGTCAACACTCTAGCTGAAGATTATTTTACTTTTTTAAAGGTGTGTTTGTGTTTTAGTTATGCTGTTGAGAAAAAAAATTCTAAAGTTTCTTTTATTTTCTCACTAGGTCTGTTGAGATTTATCCTTGTGCTATCTTCACTGTCAGCTGTATCTTGTCAACACATTAGCTGAAGATTATTTTTAACCTGTATAGAGGTGTATGTTCAGTTTTTGTTTAGGTCAAACACATCAATTTATTACAACAAAAACAACCACAAATTATGCATTATAAGAGCAGCTGTTCAGGAAGAAGAAACCACCATGGAGTTACTTTGCCCAAGCTTCTTCTTCAAAACCTCAATATCTGATTTGAGATCAACTGAAGTGTCTGACAACTCCAAACTATCAATTTTAATCTCTTCAATCCCTTCAGTCAGTATTTCCGGGTTGAGGAGGCATTTGGGAAGGGTCTTAGGAGGAAGTTGATCTTCAGGATCAGGAACATTTGGCAAATATTCTCCTCTGGATTGGAAAAAATCTTTCAGTCTATCTTTCAGTTTTTTGGTGCTCTCCCATTTGGAAGCTGAATCACTGGCCAGTTCAATCAATTCATCAAGCTGGGGGGTCCACCAGTTGAGCTTGATCTTCCTAAACTTGTCAGGCTTCTCTGGGTCCATTTCAGTCTCAGAATGAACCTCTTGAGAGTTGAGCAGAACTTTGGGTGGAACTGTGAAGTGACAAAAGTAGAGGTCTACTGCTGCAGCCTGTTGTTCACAAAGCTTCAAATGCACAAGTCAATATGAGTGCTTATCAGAGTTGCAACAGTGAAAGATTTTTTTTCCCTTTTTCCGAATGGCTCTCAAAGCTGCTTTCTCCCTCTCTGTAAGTTTTTTGCGGACAAATTTGTCACTCCCTCCTTCTGTAGACACCAAATTCTTTTCCTTTGCCTCATCTGGGAAGCCTCTGCGCTTATTTGATACCCAGTGGAAAAATATTTCTCAAGTTTCAAGGGGATATTGAGGCCTGTGGTGATTGGGAATCCGGAAGGTACACCTTGGGAATTATAGAAATCTAACCAGCCAGTACATAATTAATCGGTTAAGAGAATTTTACACTCAATGATTTACACTCGATAATGAGTGTAAAATCAGATGAGTGTAAAAATCAACAATCACGGGGGGCAATTAGAATTTTACACTCAATCTGGCCCGAATTTTTGTGTGTAATATTTGATGTGTAAAAGTTTGAGTGTAAAATTCCAAGTCACCCGGGCCGAGATAGAATTTTGCACATGACTTTTTACACACCAAATGGAGTGTCAAAGTTCTAGGGTGCAAATATCTAAGTTTGGCCCCCCAAATCCATTTTTACCCTCCAACCTCTCTACACTCAAAGTTGAATGTAAACCACATGAATGTTTTTTTTCACAAACCCACCCCCAAATTAGAATTTTGCACGCGATGAAGAATCATCATCAAACTCACCGAATCGGCCGTGGATATCACCATCTGCACGGCATCTCAAACTCACCAATCGGCCTCGTCTATCAGGATGTGGTGCTAACCACATCATTCCCCTGCCAAAACCCCCTACATGCCCTAACCTTCGACAACTTCCCTTTGTAGGACAACCATCCCTTGCAGACATCGATGATTGCCCTAACTCTCCTCGCCTTTGACCAACACCTCCACCCTTTCGATGACAGCCTTAAAGCTCACTTCAATACCTCAAACCTCGATCCTCCCTGGACTAATCCGCTGCTTATATCACACCAGATTACCACTCCTGGAACTTCAACTGATTCCTTCAAAGCCACGTATCCGATTCACCAAAGATTAATCTCGATGATCGAGAGTATCCCTGCTGCTGATGCTGACCTAGTCGAGCTAAGCAAGATGTCACGTATCCTGCGTCCACGACGGCTTCCCATCGATGGACCTCACCGAGCAACCTCTTACGACTCTTTTCCTGAAACCCCCGCTCAAGAATCTGCTCGAGAATCAAGACTCCCAATTCTTCTGCTCCCCATTCTTCCGTACCAATTGAATTACCTTTATCAACCGTACCATTTCTATCACTTCTACTCCTTATATCAATCTAATTCTAATAACCAACCCCTTCCACTTCAAAACTTTCACCGCTCATACCAATTTTACCAAATTATTGTGTCGCTTATCTGTTTTGCTATGTCTTCTGGAACCGAATCCAACGATCAATTAGAACATATGGTTTCACCGTTCCCGACTCAGACCGAAACCCAATCCACTCAACCTGTTCCCGCTGAAACCGAAGATGTTACTGTAGCCGACGATGTTAATGAATCGAACCACACATCTTCCAAAACCAAGAAAAAGCGAAATCGCCCCAAGAAAACCGGCAAAAAATTCAAGACTCCTATCCCCAGTAGTGGCGAATTGAAAACCTTCATTGATCATGGAACGACTTGCAACAGCGAAGGCTATCCTATCTATCCCAACGGTGATACGGTCTTTGTCCGAGAACCTTTAGACGATATCACCAATTTCGGTCATATTGCTTATCCTCACACTCAAAAGAACCACGGCTCAAAAGACTCCTCAGCATGGAAAACGACGTGGTACACTTGCCTTGGGGTGTTACATTGCGACGACGACTTTTGCGACTACGCCGCCCCGCCACCAACGGGTGAAGGAAAGGCAGCCGAACTCATAGAGGAGTACATCATTTCCTTTATATCTACTTGAACACTCATCCACTCACTGAGTCCTCATTTCTTCCTTTTGTTATCTTAGCCACCCGACTTGCCCTGCGGACGCTTGCAATGGCCAGCACTTATGGACTCAATGCCCAACCACCAGCTGCCGAATTGATATCGAGAAGGCAAGTGGCTGGGCTGTTCTTCGGCACTTGGGCACTCACAACCACGTGTGGCCTACGTCGAAGAAGGCTGACCCGTTAGCCATGCGCACCCTCACGATCGAGCTGGTGAAGAACCCTAAGGTTGGCCCGTTGGTCCTCAAGGTAAGTCATTCAGCCAAGTTTCAACGTCAGCTCATGCTGAAGGTGACGTGGAAAACTTTCTTCCAAAACTCTTCAGGTCGGCCAGGCAGGTGCCGGCCAAACGGTGACGCCTCCCGTCACCGATATCCACCCGGCTTTCTCTAACGGAGGGCGACTGGGGTACTTACGCCGAAAGGTCCTTGTCGAGAAGGGATTGATGCCCGAAAAAGAAAGCAAAGGGGGTGGTGATCGCCTTATCATGGACCTCATGCACTGGGGCAGGTAAGTGTCCATTTGGTCAGGTTCTCAATACGTCGATCGATACTGATATCGAAAACTTTTTGTCTGTGTTGGTTTAGGAATGGCCTTTGATTAATCTCAACCTCGCTTCTAGGGAGCGACGTCCACATCAACTTCCAATCCGAGTGGATGGCCGAGCAACTGGTCCAACGGGACCAGTTCGGGAAGGTGTATTCAGGAGGTTTACTCTCGGATGTGACGTACCGGTTCTTCAAGAACGGGTACCTCCTGACTACTTCCATGTACTGCCAACTCATGCATCGATGGATTCCCATCCAGCTCACTTGGATGTGGGGTCTTGACGTGGCCCACTATCGATCCCATTTTGTCACCCTCCTGAATCAAATCAAATCGGCCGAACTCACCTATCATGAACGGGACCTCATGGTTCAACAAGTCGTTGACTTTTCTGTTGCCCAGAAGAAGGGCTTCATTGCGGCATACATGGAAGTGTTCAACGAGATTGACCCAGCAAAAGCGTTGGACAAGCTCAAGGGATGTCATGAACATTATCGTCAGTCTATAACTCGGGTCAAAAAAAATCGCAACATCGTTGATGCGAGTCAAGTTGTAAGCCTAGAATCTATGTTTATATTCTTGCTTATGTCACTGATGGGTACTCCTATTCCTTTTTCTTCTTTGTCTCGCTGTTACTTAGGCCTACTTCGAAAAGTTGGCTCTCAATTTGCTAGAACCCGATATGCCTGGTGGCCTGGATTTAGGCGAGAAATTTGATCAAATCGGACGCCTCTTCCCCAAAGCCAAAGCGTGGTTAGACTGGTGGAATACGTCCGATATACACGCTATGCTCTTCTGTGCACGCAAACGTTTACCACTGGACGACCCTCCTCTCCCTGGTACCGAAGGCGAAGATGAACTGCCGGACACCACCAATGGCCAGGAGAGTATGCACCGTCAATACTACATTCTTTCGTAAGTGTGCCCATTTCCTCGTTGTACATTACAATTGTTGACATCTTTGACCTTATGTGATCAGGTCTGGTCACTGTACCATTATCAAAGGCTTCGTTCAACTTCTCCTGTTTGTTGAATCACTCAACAAGGACTACAACCTACTTCGCCGAGGAATCCCTGTGAAGTACGGCGCGAGCTGGGACTCCGTCGTCGAAACTTTGGGCTGGTCCAAAGAAAGAACCAGGCGTCGACCAGAGGTGAACGACGGACGTCCACCTGATACCACCGACGCCCTTCTTTGCCCCAAAAAACTCGGCCGTCCTACCGGGTCTCTCAATGTACACCGCGGCCCGCATTCATCTTATCAGTCGTATTCGGCCAGTGTGGAACCCGGCAAACAAAACCGATGCTGGGAAACGGCGGCTTTGGAGTCGATCTTTCCTACTTTTTCGCCAATGTGGCTCGAGGGATCGAAGGGTAAGAGCAAGGACCTTGCATCGAAACTCATCCGCCACTATTCTGCACGGGTCACAGCCGAAATGCACCAAAGTTCCCACATGAAATCGGTCCTATCTCGAGGCCTCAAGTCACTACAGACGGGAGTTCAAAAGATCTCGCCTACCTCCTTCGTGACCAACACGTTTTGTTTGGCTGACGGATCCATCGAACATCTGCTCTACGCTCGACGTAATGTTCCCTTGTCTATTGGAAGATATTTTGCATTCAATCTCCTCCGCGAACACCAGTGCACTCAGTTCAACGACCATCACGAAAGCGACGAGGGTGTTCGAACTACTGTCGCCATCACCAACGACATCTTTCATGAGGCGAACCTACGCTACTCTGATGTGGCCATATTGCTACAGATGTGGCAGACCGAGGGCCTTTTTTCGGAAAACCCTCGTTGCTGCCCTTCATGTCTTGCCAATCACCGTCAACTAAACTCGCCGCAAGCTCATAGCCAACAGGACGCTGAACTCACCGTGCTCCGATCTGATCCGACAGCTGATGTACCTCGTTTGTTCCAACGGTCCAGATTGGATTTTTCTCAACTTCCACTCAATGTCTATTTCCATCTCGAGGGTGTGGCGGGCCTTACCCCTGACGATCGTGCCAGCTTCATGGGTGAAATGAACTGGCCCAAAGTGTTGGTACTCCACGACATCGAATATCACATTGTCTCGCGCGGTTTCTGGAGTTACAACCATTATTGGTGCAAGCTGGTTAGACATGTTGATGGTGCACGTGGTATATGGTTTTTCGACGACCGCAAAGATGATGGGCGGGCCCAGTTAATTGGCCGCGATTCGAGCTTGATCGCAGGAGCCCAACCGTCCACCAGCTGGCTCATCTACGCAAGAAAACCAACTGGTGATGAGCAGAAGTTAATCGACGCTGGAATAGCCAAAACCACTCACAAGAACCCGGAAGCTGTGGGCGATGTGCCATTTGTCTCTCCAGAAGATTTGATTGGGGTGGAAGATCAAATGGACGAAGATACGAAGAGTACCCGCTTACCCCCTCCTTTGAGCTCTATGCCACCCGAAACGATTACGAAACCGGTGGTCAACAGCTCCGTTTGTAGGAACAAGGCCAAGGAAGCTTTTGCCGGTAAGTCCAAAGTGAGGTGTGCCCCGCTTTGTGAACAGCCACATTGACATTCTTTCATATTTTGCTCATACAGCGGCGAAGATTAAGACAGAACCCGGTATATCGACAGGGAAACTATTCCGTGACAAAGGTGGTGATCATCTGCCTGCTGAGGAGCCTCTGTTGCAAAACGTGTCGTTGGGACAAGCGTTCACTTTTGGTGACATCCCGGATGACGAAGGAGAGCGTCCCAACTTGCAAGGCACCGACTCTGGACAATCCCTGCGCCTTCGTATCAAGCGTCCCGCAGCAGCAAGGGCTGAACATCTGCAAGAGGCGAAAAAGGAGGCTAGCCAACCAAAGGCTAAAGCCAAGGCTAAGGCCAAGGGGAAGAAGAAAAAGTAGGGTTATTACGTGCTCACTGGGGGGGACTAAGTTCTCGCTTGGCCTGTTTTCTATGTTTATCAAGTTGTATGGTCTTCAAATATCTTACTGTGGCGATGATCATGATGGTAAGCGCGGGAGTCATATTTCTCTCTTTGCTGTCTTGTTTGTGTAGTTTGTTTTGTTAGTAGTTCAAAAGGCGCCAAGTTGATGAAATGTAACTTGGCAATTAAGTGGTGGAATCGAGTGTTTGAATGACTGCCACACAGCCCAAATCTTAGTAACCGTAACGGTGGCTTAAGGGTGGCTGACAGTCTTCGCCATAATAGTTGCGCCATGCAATGCGGGAGAGTAGAGCCTTCAGGAATATAAGTTTAGCCATATGAATTTAAAAATTTCAAAAAAACTTGAAAAAACTTGGAAAAAATCCAACTTCTTTGATTGTAGGCAAAAAGGAAAGTGTGCAAAATTGTAAATTCGGGGTGGGATTTTGTAAAATTACACTGCTGGCCTTTGCACTGCTTATTGAGTGTAATGATGGTTGGGTGCAAAATTCGATTTAGGGCATGGTATTTACAATTGTGCACTCAAAAAATTTGCACTCCTTATGGAGTGTAAAGAGTTCGTGTGTAAAATTCTAATTGGGGGGTGGTCTTTTAGAATTTTACACCCAATCTTTTACACTTCTTTTTTTGCACTCTACAAAATTGAGGATATGGAGTGCAAAATTCTAAATTGACCCCCTGTTTGTTGATTTTTACACTCAACCAGATTTACACTCAACATTGAGTGTAAATGGATGAGTGTAAAAATCTATTGACCCATAATTAATTGGTCTAACATAGCCATGTTCCAAGGAGTTTTAGATGGATTGGTCCTTTGGAAAGTGATGCAAGAGAAGCCACAGCCAGAGAATTTAGCTTCAGCACATTTCAAGTGAATAGCATTGTAGATGGTAAGTGAGGCAGTAGCATGGGCTACTTGTGAGACAATTTTGGGAGGTGGGAAAGCTTTGTAAAATATGATAACAGCTTCTTTTGACACTAAAATTCCCATTTGATGCTTGACACATTCAGTTGCTGAGGGGTTATTTTTGAAGTGCTGGTCCATTTTCTGTTGAATGTTGAGATCTAAACATTTTGTCCTCTTGTCAGAGTAGTTGGCCTACTTGTCAACCTCTTCAGAAGTTGGCTCATCAGGGAGGTGGTGTTCAAGCAGGACAGCAGTGCCAAAAGATATATCTGAGTCACTCAGAGATACTGGAATTCATATCAAAGGGGTGATTTACAGTGAGACAATTTTTTTCTTTTTCCTTGTCCTCCCTGTTGCCAAGTTGCAACTTGGCGGCCCCATAATGGGCTGACCTTTGGGCTCAACCCCAACTTGTACAACAGACAGGGCCACCAAGTGCAACTTGTCAACCCCTTTCCTTGCCCATTGTGCTAATTTTAAATGACAACTGAACATTTCTCTTGGTGCAGGCATAAAAAATGGGACCTTTTGCAACAAGAAGGACTCCCTGGTACAGGTCCTTGGCTTGGCAATGTAGGACGCTCACATGGAGGAACAACCACCCTAACAGCTGCTATTTTGCCCTGATCCTCAGGATGAGGCTGGGCATGAATCTGAGGAGGACAACAAGGGCAACCCCACAGAGGAGTTTCAAGGTGACTGACTGGAACCCAATGAGGAATATGAGCCACCGCAAAAACAACCCATGTCTCTCTGCTCAAGCAGGAATCCACCTATCAGTCCTTCAAAACCAACCCAAATCAAAGTCACTACTCTGTCTACTAAGTTTACCAAGGGTTCTCAGAATAAATTGACCCCCAAAACTCCAAACAGGACGGCATCCCTGGGTGTCAAGTTTCCAAGGTCAAACATCAGCCCAGATGTGCCAACCCATCCCTAGTTCAATCCATCTTGGACAGCCAAACAGGCAGCTATGCAAAAGACAGCAGAAACTCCTCCTCCCATCAAAAGGAAGGAAAACAGTACAAAGAGAAGGTGTCAGTCCAAACCTACCAAGCCAGAGACTTGAATTCCCTCTCCTCCTCCCCCACCCAAAAACTCAGAATTGGAACAGGCCAACACCACTTTCCGCCAAATTGGCAATGATATCCTCAATTTTGCACAAAGAGGTTCCTGGTATACTGAAATGACCCCCAATGTGTCGGATACCTTCTATGCGCTGTTTTCAACACCTTTCACATTGCCACCCAATCACAATATCCACATTCCACATTCCCACTATGTAAAAGCTGTTTGGGACAAAACTCTGAATCAAACAATTTTATTTCAAAACATGCAACATGGGCTGGATGCCTATGACTTGATGCTGTCTTGGCGGTGTGGTGTCAGAAACATGCCTGGTTGGGGCCCAACAGACACGTGGGACTTGGATGATTGACTCAACCCCCTCCTTACGGCTTTGAAGAAGGGTGAGAGGTTTTTTGGGAAAACATGCCCTCCGGGCTACATACACAAGGCAATTGGTTCCTCCAATCCTGTTCCCTTTTCAGCAGTAACCTCAGCCTCAGATCCTATTCCTGATCCTTTATCCTCCTCAGCCGTAGATCCTATTCCTAATTCAACATCTGCCTCAGCCTCTGACCCATTGCCACCAAGGTTTAATCACACTGTCTTTCCAAATCACATTGACTTCAATCCTACGCCACAGCCTTCACAAGACAGTGAATACAAATCATCTGAGCTCCAAGACAATATCACAAAGGACATCAGTGCCATTGAGGCCCTGTTGCAACTTCCCAAAAATGTACCAGTTGGCCGTCCAACAGAGAATTTTTGCGGCTTTTTTTGATCATCCCCTGTGGCTTCTCTTGTCTGATGACAAGGATGAGATGTGGAAAATGTTCATTGAGACAATGGACAAACACCTTGGGAAAGACAAGATTCCCAACAGATTTTGGCGAGGTGAACATGGTTCCAAAGGCCTTTTCAGGAAACAGGTCACCTCCTCTTGAGAAAAAGAGTATTGGTCCATTCCCTCATCTGACATCATTCTCAAGACAAAACTCCACTTGATTGTGGAACGTGTTGAGTCTTGGCAGATCCAACCACCACTACCATACCTGCCGTCAAGTCTCAGTCATCAGAATTGGCACAACCTGCTGCTCCTCAGGCTACCACACCTGCCGGCAAGTATCAGGGTATACAATTGCCACCACCTCCCACTCTTCAGGCTACTACACCTTCTCAACCATCAATCCCACAACCGGACACTATTGGGGCCAGCACAACTCATCATCCCCTTGCAAAGTCTCCCTTGGACCAAGCCATCATTAGACCTGACCCAGCTGCTGAACTTATCCAAGACAATGTTCAACCTGCAAACACCACAGATTCCACAACTACTGTCTTGCCATTGGCTCCCGCGCTACCCACACCGTGTGTCTCTGTGTCGGTAAACCCTTCATTGGATGGCCCTCAGGACAACCAGGGGAGCACTGGCACACATTCTGGCAACCCAGACCTTACAACCACATTGCTTACCACACCAACCAAGGTGACATTGCCATGTCCTATGCTAGATGTGCTAGCCCGGTGTTCCACCCGTTCCCTCTTGTTCAGAAGAACCTTCAGTTCTCATCAATCCCCCTGGGGGTATTCCGGATGGCGGGGTACCAATACCTGTTGATGCAGATTTTAGGCAAGTATCACATAAGCCATCCATTTGGGCAGTTAGTGACCCTGCGGCTTTTGAGCTCACCAAGGCCACCATCGACAAAAAGGCTGGGATATGGTGGAAGATGTGCCCATCAAAGAGGAACCCAGATCAAAGCAACAGCAATGTGACAGCAACTTGGGTAATGTACTCATCACTTGGTTTTTTTCTTTTCTTTCCACTATTATCATTTATATCCTTTTGATCACTGTTTCCCTTGGTAATATCATTAGATATTGTTGAATATCATCTAATATCATATGAGATCATTTGATATCTTATGTTTTTTTTGTTTTTTTTTCTCAGTTGGTTCTGTTGTTTGAAATTTGGTGTTATTCTCTTTTGCAAGCAGTGTAAAATTGCACTTTGTTGATGCTGGGATGCAATTTTATACAGTTTATCTTGGTGTAAATGGAACCCGTGTAAAATTTGACTTTTTGCAGGTGAGTCTCAATTTTTACATTGGGAGTTCTTGCACCGGAACTGTTGGTGTAAAAGTTACAGTGTAAAAATCAATATCACCCCCGGTTTCCCTATTTTTACGCCGGTATTTTAACATAGGAATTTCTCACACGGGCCAAAAAAGACAAACCCAGTAAAAAAATTGGAAAATATGGGCCTTTTTTCGAATTGTACACTGGGTTTGCTAGCCACCAGGGTGGTTGGTGTGAAGTGGTCTGTGTAAAAGTCTACGTTCCAGTAAAAGATTTGATGAAAATGACAAAGTCATGATGTCATGATTTCATAAAATAGTGATAGCCAAAATGGCATCACCCACTGCACACAATAGACAACACGGCAGAAATATAAATCAGAATGAATGAAAAGAAGGATCCCACTATTTAGCGCCCCTTTGGCTGATATCCGGCGCCCCTCGAGTTTTTCCCAATACCCGCGCGGTCCGTCAATACTCGAACTTTTTCACGCTAAATTTCACACCCTCGGACCTCAGGGGCACCAATAGGGCTCCCTAAGGGGGCACAATTTACCAAAAGCGCCCTTAAATGTCTTATTTGATGCCCCTCCATCCTTTCTGGGGGGCATCGAAGATAATTAAAAGAAAATGCAGGGGCTCCCAAGTTATTTGGTGCCCCTTGGACTGCACAGACATCGGCCCCCAGACAGTCATGGCCGCTATCTATCCATACTACTACAAAAAGAGCTCCCCTCTCGCCCATCACAAACTCTCTTCCCTCATCTGATTTTTCTTCCTTTCCCTGTCTCCCACTGATCACATACAAATACAACCTTAACCTTGATTTGTCACATCCAAAACAACCATAACCTCACTAATTACCACTAATAACACCTTAACCTCACTAACTACACCTTCACCTTCTCTAATATTCTCACATCATCGTTCAGACTTTCAAAACTTCGAAACTTCGAAATTTGATACACTATGCTATGCCTTATGCCTTGTGTGTTCAATTTAAGATACATTTTATGCCAACTACGGTCTGTTGCCCATTGAGCAAGCTAGCTTCACTCGCAAATATCGATTATGTCCAAAATCGAAAATCGAAGAAAGTTTTATGACAATATCATGACAATGACAATTTATGAGAGAAAAACGATTGAACGTTTGTATGTATGTACATGAGAAGAAAGCGGTAAAATGTGGTTGCCCCTTTTTGCCCCTTTTTTTTACAAAGGGGCGCCGGAATTATTTGTAGCCCCATGTCCGACCCGAAATGGGGCGCCGGATACTGTTCCGAGGGCGCTAAATAGTGGGATCCAAAAGAAATGAATATCACGTACAGCAGAATGCAAAAGGGATGAAATCCAGAGCCCAAATTTCCAGCTATGTGGTCCGTGCGAGTGGCACTTGTGGCCGTCTTTGCTGAGCCAAACATCGGGAACATTCTTGTGTCCTTTGATACAGACTTCCGATGAAGTCCGATACAGGAAGCTCAAAGATTTGATGGTGCCCCAACCCTATCGCCTCTCAACCACCCCAACCCACCAAATCCCATCCTACCACCTCATCGATACCCGCCTCACGTTTTCCCTCACCCATCATGGGATTTCAACGCTACTCGGAAGACCTCAAGCTTCTGGCCGTCCGAATGGCTCTCGACGGCGATGAACTCGAGACAATCAACCAGACCCTACGTACATCTATATCTGCCACCTCACTTTGGCGCTGGAAGGAACTTCATCGCCGTACCGAAAGGGTTGTTGTCGATCCTCGAGAGTACAAGACCATCGGCCGACCTCACGCGTTATCAGACGAACATCTCGGGGTGCTCCACGAATTGGTCACTGGGACTCCAACAGTCTACATCGATGAACTTCAACGCCTTATGCTTCAGATCACCGGCCTCCGTGTATCTCAGTCAACCATTGGCCGTGATCTGCACCAGCACTTGGGACTCTCCCATCTGGTTGCTCGCGGCGTTCACTCTGCGCAGTCAATCGCATCTCGCACTGATTACATGATTTGGATTGGCGGTATCCCACCTGAATACCTAGTTTTTATTGGTATGTTTTAAACCTTCTACCTTCAACTTAGTTCTTGGGTCAATTAACATGAACTGAATTTCAACTACGGCCTATAGATGAATCCGGGATCAAGGGGCGCGACTGCATTCGAACGAAGGCCTGGGCGCCCAAAGGCACTCGAAGTGTCCGCCAGAAGACTTTCACCAAGCAAGATCACTGGACCATCCTTCCCGCTGTCTGTGAGCAAGGAATCATTGCCGGGACAGTTATCGAAGGCCCTGTTGAAAGAGTTCATGTTGAACTGTTTCTTGAACGGGATTTGGCAAGTGATTTCTTCTATCTCATGATCAATAAGTGTTTAAAACATTGCTAATACGAATGTTCATTTTCCGTGTCCAGCTCCCTGTCATGAATCGATATCCGGCAGTCAACTCCGTTCTTGTCTTGGACAACGCCCGGATACATCATGGCGGGCTGATCAACAAACTTTGCAAGGCCGCCGGGGTTCTACTAGTTTATCTACCGGCTTACTCTCCGGATCTCAACCCTATTGAAATCTCATTCAATAGCATGAAGGCTCAACTTCGCCGGGAACAGAGGTGGTTTGAGGTGGAGGACCGAGGTGAATATTTATTGTTAGTAGCTGGCAAAGTAATGACTCAAACCCTCTTGCAACCACTGATTGCTTTCAGTGGTTATGCCACTGCGGATTATTGGCAAGATTATAATGCACAGTTTGACCACTAAAGTAGTTGTCCTAATCTAACATACAGTAGTGCTTCTAATGCAAACGTTGGTGTGATCATTTGCCAAACTTATTTTGTTGTTTCCTAGTTCTTTTCTTATTTGAACTTCTGCGTGATGAAAATGAATGACATATAAAGCTCTTCAACTAAGGCTTTGTGGCGAGAGAACTGAGACTCGTGAGTAACGAGAAAGGCACCCACTTCCAGCCTTCACTCAAATCTTCAAAGTCTTTGTAAAGACTTGGAATGGTCCGGCTTTACTGTCATATCAGTAAAATTGATCAAGTCTGACCTCAGTAAAGACTTGATGGTGATCGATCCAGCCGAACCGAGGTCAGTTCGGCTAGACTTGAGTTTTACAAGTCTTTACTCAGGTCAGACTGGACTTTGATCAAAGTCAAGTCAAGGTCACTCAGGTCAGATGATTTCTTGATCAAACTTTGTGGGAGACCAAAGTTCTATTTGGATTAAGGCACGAGAGAAGTTGAGGTCAGACTGGACTTTGATCAAAGTCCAGTCTGACCTCAGAGTTGACTTGACTTTCATTGAAGTCAAGGTCACTCAGGTCAGACTGGACTTCGATCAAACTTTGTGGGAGACCAAAGTTCAATTTGGATTAAGGCACGAGAGAAGTTTGAATTTTAGTTCAATGAGATTTGTATTGGACATCATTGGCATAGGTGGTCATGAAACTGAACAAGGACATCGACAAGGCCTGTAGGATTCAGGGTGTTTGGGTGAACAATTGAACAAACGGAGACAAAGAAGTATAAAACTTTTAATGAACAATTTGGACAAAGCGATCTTTTGGGATGTAATTTTTGGGGAGGGACAAGTGATATGAGAGTGAGGCAACGGCGAGACAAACTATAACATCTGGTTAGGGAGCATACCGAGGGGTAGCTTGGCAGGAAAACATAACCTATCAACATCAGATTTCGTCAGAATTGGGGAAAATTGCTCGTCCCTTGCCCTTGGTTCGACGTTGCTCATCGGCATCAACTTGAACTATATAAAATCGACGGGCATGAGTCATAAGCTCCATCGTGTGACCCCAGGAGATCCCCCAAGACTCAATGTTCTTGGCATTCAAGACATCAGGGAAAAGGAACCGGTGGAACCGAGTGATCTTGTTGGCTAATAAGATCGATTCGATGTCGTCCATGACTTCTTCATCAAGGTCGCAAAAGTTCAAGTAGTCGCGGAGGCAGGTGTGGAAGGATGCGTTGAAGGGTGTCAAAGTCTATGTTGACATGGGAACCCTGCATTTCAGCATAGCTGCCAAGTGCAAAACGTGCCGAGTGGTCGTCGATCTTGGTGCGTTTGGGTTCCGCAGTCGGGGTTTGGTTGGGAAGGGGTCGTTTGATATCCTTCCAAACGAACTCAGGGAGTTTGGGAGGGCGGTCTAGTGTAACACCTGGCGTACCAGCAGCCTGTTATTCAAACTAACGTCAGTACTTGCAGCGCGATATAGATTTTAAAGGCCAGAAGAAACTGACCAATTCTTTGGCCCAAACAATCAAGTTACGGAAGTTCAATTCCATCTTTAAGGACAGGTCGTCCTTATTGAAGATACGCCAACCCTCGTGGTTGTGGTTTTTGAAAGAGCCAAGGTGAAGCTGTAAAGCGGTGAGTTGTTCTTTGTTGCAATCGACCGGTGCTAAGCGAGCAAGGGCAGAGGTACTGGTGGGCACATTATCGATGTGATTTTGGGCTTGGAGGCGGCCTTGCTTCTTGGTGAGACTCTAACAACCGCCGAAAAAAATTACCAGTGAGACCCAAGATTGAAGTGTGAATAATCCAATATCATGAAATCAAAAAGACTTACATCAGCTGCTTCTTGAGCCGCTTTGGTGGGATTTTCCATGATAATTGTGAATCCGGCGTCGGTGCCTGGTGACGCCTCGACAGCTTGATAAAAAGATTCAAGAGTCTGATCGGAATCTAATACCTTTTTGAGTCCTTTGGCGTAAGTGGTGTGTTTTGCTATGTAACCCATAATGAGCACCTGGTTACTGGCATTGGCGGCTTTGAGAATTGCGGCGTTCCCCTTGAGTTCATCGTCAGTTGGGTCGATTTCACTGGCTAATGACCAGATGATTTTCTTCAAGCTCTGCCATTTGAAAGAGGTGATATCAAAAAGAATCTTGGCGCAAGGAAGGGGGATTGAACTATAAACCGGTTTTTTAGGTCTAGATGACCCCTTGGATAAATCGGTGCCTTTTAATAAATATGAGGTGTATGAGACTGCGAGGAGACGCATGGGACCCATGGGACCATTGGGAACCTTGGGTTGACCACCTATATGAAAACCAATAGATCGTCAGCAATGGACAAAGAAAGAAAGTATCGAGATGAAACGCCAAACCTGGAGTTTTGGAAGGGCTGTCTTCCGCGTAATCGAACGGGTTTGGGGTCGCAGATGCAACGGTGCTGGAAGAGCACAGATCAATCTCGTTTGCCTTGGTCTTGATCTTCAGTTGCGAGACATAAAGACCATCTGGAATGATGTCGGGCCAAGTGTAGAGTGGTCCTTCACCAAAGCCATCAGACTCGGTTACAGAGGAAGGGATAGGTGTACCTTGGCTGAACCTGACCCAAAAAAACGAAAAAGAAAGAGGTGGTTTAAAGTGGGGGAAATTGGTCGTAGAACAAAAGAGATTGTCAGCAAGGCTCATCAAATAACTGATCACCAATCAGACTCACGATCGATAGGCGTGACCAGCCCGCTCGGCTCCACGTTGGACTTCGAGCGCAATTTGCTGGGGGTTCATTGGATTAGGGAAGATGTTGTAGTTCATGAGCTCCGATCGATTCATTTTGAAAAAAATCGGAAGACAATGGGGTGGTATGATGGTGTCCAGAAGAAAAGACGCTCGGAAGCTCCCAAGGTCTTTCAAAACCGGAATCGGTTGGCTTGTGGTTGGAAAGGTGGGTGAAGGGCAGGTCGGGAGAAATCGGTGAAAGAAATTTTCAATCGGCCTAGTCTCCATGTTTGGGTGAAGGCTTGGTCGGGAGGTATCGGTGCAGAATGTTGCCATTCTTGCTAGTAACCATGCGTGATGGAAGACAGCTGAATATACTGGGAATACTGGCCCGATGTGGCTCACCAAAGACGGCCACAAGTGCCACTCGCACAGACCACGTAGCTGGAAATTTGGGCTCTGGATTTCATCCCTTTTGCATTCTGCTGTAGTTACATAGCAGAAAATCGATGATTTTGAACTGTACACAACATGTGTCAGCTCTTGACAATACCCACTTGATGCTCATTCTTATCAACTGAATAACAAATGACTAAGACCTCTAGACCCGAGCTATACAATTCCAAGCCTCAGTTCTGACGTAGACATTAGTACAAGGTAGGGTGTATATATCTAACCCATGTATGCATACCATGTTCGTATCATGTTTTCAGTAGCATTCACAGTAGGCATACTAGCGGACGTGGGAGAACTCTACACGACTTTGTATGCGCGTTGGTTCCTCTCCTATATGTAGGCTGTTAAAGGGTGCAGCAATTTGTTGTCTTTGGAGACATTTTGACACAGAATGAAGATGAACAATTGAAATGCTATGTATTTACATTGATTTTGTAGATAAAGAAAAGAAATTCAAGAAACAATGATTTACTCATGGTCTCTTAGCCAACTTGAAGATGTCCAATCCTCGACGCTCAATTCACTATTCTCGCCATCAGATAAATTATCGCCGTCTGTTGCTTCTGGGTTGTGTTGGTCCTGGGGGTTTTGTTGCGCCTGGTCTGCATTCTGACCAGGTACGTCGGGTAGTCTCTGGCTTTGATGAAACCTGATGTTCACCGGCGGATCACGACCGTTTCCCCAGTTCTCAAGCCAAATCCTCTGAGGATTTGTCCGCACAACATTTGATAAAATAACTGACCTCAAGCTTGGCCAAGTGTTGTCGTCATTGGCAATAGAGTCCTTCATTCTCTCAATAAGCCGTGGGGGATTCTGTAGATAAATATGAAGTTTTTTGAGCTTGGGTGCGCCCGACAAGATACTGAAGAAATTATCGTCGAGGTTCGTTCCCAAGACTTCGAAGCTTTGTAACGATTGGAATAGCTTGTCAACAACAACATATTCGGGAAGTCTTATATCTTGATGTTCAAACTGAATTTTCTTCAAAGTCGGGAATTTGTTGATGAATTAAAACAGTGAAGATCTCTTCAAGTTAAAGCATTCCTTCATGATCAAAACCTTCAAAGGACCTTTCCAGTCATACGCGCACCATCCAGAATTGACGGTTGCTAATCAGCCGAGGGAGACTTCTTCCAGGGCGCAACGGGAGGCTAATGACTTACCAAGCTGGCCATTATGAGCCCTAGTAGGGAAAGATAGAGTCGCTGTGCTATGGGCCCGGAATCGGATTAAATTGGGAAGTTTCCAAACGTATTCAGCAATATCATCCTCAGCCATGAAAGCGTAGCAAGTGCCACTAATTTCCAAAGAAGTGAGAAGAGGGAAATGACTTGTTTGGAGCATAACTCCTCCGTAAGTGTTCTTGAAGTCCTGAGATACAGAATTGGCGGGGTCATTGAACCACGTTCTCCAGATGGGCTCGTCGTCAGACGGAGTAAGGAGAATTATATGCTTCACGCTGTGCTTGGAGAGAGGTTCAAGGAAATCTTTGGCGATATGACGGAAAGGTATTAAGCAATGTCGGTTCAAGATACCCGGATTTTCCAGATTTGCACTAGCTTTTAACACACGAACGTGTCTAGTCATGAGGGGTTCTATGGTCAAATGACCCCACTGAAGTTCACAAAACAGTTCTTGGCCCTGGCATACCAACGTCTTTTTGTGGCGTGAAAGTTTGTGAAAATTGTATATCAGCACTTTGTCTCTCTTTCATTATGGGAGATATATCATAAAACTACATCTTACCTTCCAGCAAAACGACTCGCAAACCCGGTATAGTGACCAATTTACGCGAGCAAGTGCTAAAGATGAGAGAGCTCCAAAATCATATGAAGTGAGTCAACAGTAAGTTAGGTGCTGGAAAAGTCCATAGACATGAAAAGAAGTGCTGATTAGATATACCTTCTCGAAATGCTCCATTGTGTGGATAATTGAATGGCCCGTTCCCTTCGGCATCTAGATTGATTGTATGGTGGATTATAGCTTCTTGAACCTCTCTGGGTAATCTGTCGATCATCTTATCAGCTTTGTCTGGAGCCTAGGGGTGATCAACGCTGGGTTTGATGGAAATATATCTCGAATTGATTAATAGAAATGTTGATGGGTGTTCAGAGATGTGATAAATGACGCTGGGGATAGTTTCTTTGGCCAAAGTTTCCACTTCTTGATACGAAGACATCTTATAACCACAGTGTAGCACAAGATGATTGCTTTTAAAATCGAAAATCTACCTTCTTTGTTTGCAGGCCTGCTCTTCAGTCGAAAGAACATGGTTGTAATTCAAGCTGGAAACCTTCAACAAAACTAAGAGTTTCAAAAGAATAGTGTAAGCTGGATGTTGATTTCCAAAGTAAGTAATACTTGCCACCTTCAAAGACGATTGAAGGGCTTTTGAGCTTGAAAAGCAGCATTCTTCGTGTTATTTTGTGAAAGAGACGGTGCGGTTTGACCTGAAAGTCATACTCCTTGCAGACAAAAGGGATCAAAAGAGGAGAACGTTCTCCTTTCCAAACGAAGGAATTCTTGCCATCTTTTGTCCTCTTTTTGGATTGGAGAGATCATGACCAGGAGTGACAAACAATATTCAATCGGGATGAAGACATTCCGGAGTAGCATTGCTTGCATTCAACATCACGGCCCACAAAAGTCCGCGAGGATATATCTAGCTTTAGCTTCAAGACGTTTGTTCATTCTTTGTCAAAATGAACAATTCATTCAATTGGCTTTTTGTCTCGCACTGGATGCAAGAGCATCAGAACAACTTGAACTCATGGATGTATGAACACATCAGCTTTTGGAAACAGCAATATGAAGCCTCTTTGATGTTTCGTAATCCACAGAGAATGACTGAAGTTGTCATATCTGAGCCTGAGTACAGAGCTGCAGCTATCCATAGTACTTGGATTTGAGGTCACTTTGGACATAATACGCAATCTGGTGATATATTCAAATCGGCAAGAAACACGGATAAGTCAATGGCCAGAACGAGGACCCTGGAATGCACCGGTCGATGTGGGTGACGAGGACAGTCCCCTATATCATTATCAGGTTTGGGAAAAATCCTGAAAAGTCCCCTTTCTGGTCACCCACATACGCCGGTTTTTGGCATTTTGACCCGGAAAAAACCCCTTTTCGGTCACCCACATCCAAAAGAAAAAAAAAAAATTCAGAAGAGGAAAAAAAAAAAAGGCTGTGGGAGCGTGCAGAAGTGCCAAATGTGCTTTCTGAGCAATGTATTTCAGTAATATAGGCCTAAACATTCATGTGTGATTGAGTGAGTTGTAAATAGTATCTACAAAAAGTGTTTCTTTAATTTAATCGGAAATTTCACCGTTGCTGGGCTGGGTTTTTAATTTAGCTAATTCATCATAGTATCGGTCAATCAACCTTTCAAGATGAACAGATCCAAGCATGTCACGCATGACCGATGGAATCATATAGCAGCCTTGACCGACATCCTTGAAAGAAGAACCCTCAAAAACGTATACTATGTCAGTAGCATCCAGGAGAGAATGAGTCAAGTCATTGGATGACGAGTTTTGAGTTGGTGTTACAACTGGATAAAGGGGGTTGTAGAAGAGGACTTGTACTGCAATATGAGACAGACCCTTCCTTGCATCTGCACTGGTCACAAAAGCGTGTTTTTTGTTGACGAGCTTGTAGACAACAAGAGTTTTTGCCAAGTACAAAGTCTAAATGTTAAAGATGCATCAGCATTCAAAAAATCATCATTCAATTGTGAGATGAACTTACGTGATTCTTGATAACAATCAGGAAGCTTCCAGGTTTGATAGGGTTTGTGGGCTTGATTTCCCCGCCTTCGAGGAGTCCTTGCAAGTGGACTTGACCAAAGGCTGCAGAGTCCTTGACGATCCCAGATAAGTCTATCTTCACATTTATATTCCACCGGTGCCTACGCGCTTCGCCCGTGGGGATTTCTTCCAAGTTTTTGAAGCAGACAGCAATGATCTTCGAGCAAGCACTTGGTTTAACACCACCGCTCTTTGTCTTACTTGTCAATTCCAAAGCCAATTCGTCAGGATGAATGATGTTTCGTTCATTTCCCTTATGATTTACAACCTCGCTATCGTGACGTTTTCGGATTGCTATTAAATTGGCAGCAATGAGCTTGCCATCCATGACTAGTGGACCAATAGCTATATCGCTTTTTGAGTCATGAGATTGTTGGCAATGCTTATCTGAAGCTACAAAAGTAAGCAAGAGATGTGTCAGTAAATATGTTTAGGGAACTCGCCTAGACAACGTTGATGCTACTTACACGCCGGATTGAGCAGATTTGATATAGCCATTGCTGCGTTTTGCAAGCTTTCACTTTCTGAATCATCGGGCAAAGTTTCCAGAAAAAGGTCTACCGAGTTCTGTTCCTTGGTCAAGTGAGCAGCGGCTTCCAGCGCTTGCTTTTCGCGCATTTCACCTTCCGTATATCCATACTCGATATTGTAGTGTTGAGTGGCGCAAACAGAGATATCTAAAACCAAAGGATTGGTCATCAATGGTCATCAATACATGTAAAGACGAAAGGATAAACAATTACCTGATAAATTTTCAGGCGAGTTTTCAGCCACCTCATCCAGGTCTGGGCCCGGAACGTCCTCGATCAGAGATACCAGTGACCCCATTCCAGCAATCAGGGACAGTTGATTGGCTCGCTTGTGGGCAATCGCTAGATCCTCGGAAATTTCTTCATCAGTTGGAAACTCGGCAAGAAATTCGAGAAGATTGTTTTCAGGCTCATCCGAAAACGCATACTGGTATCCAGAATGCATGTGTTCGGAAGGTGGGATTTTCATTTTCCCTGACATAATGTTTTTGACGATTGCATGGATTTTTGGCAACATCATTCTAGCATCCAGAACCGTGAATCTTGGGGATATGATACGCATCCAGCCGAAGATGTGTTCGCATGGTTCACTACCATGTTTCCAAGGGAGAAAAGGAGTGGTCGGATAGAATTCTCGGTGAGCTAAGATGAGCTGAAGCAGGGAGGTCGCAAGCATTGAGAAAATCTTGAAGCTCTGAGGCGAAATGCAGTTTTGAGCAAAGCTCATCAGTTTGTTAGACTCGGATTGTCGTTTTAAAAGATACGTTTTCCATTGTCGCAAGAAAAAATCGGCAGTCCAGGCTGATCTTAGACGTTCTCGATGACCAATCCATCGATTCAACCAGGCATCGCACATCTCACCTATCACAAACAGGTAGATTGACAACCCAATCATGTCATCATCAGCCAAAGAGACCGCCAAGGTTCTGGAGTTCAAGGTTTGAAAAGCTCGGCCATCGTCCTGCTTGTCGCAATCAAAGACATCCTTATGAAGGAGAGGGCTCCGACCAGACTGGAGGATAGCAGCTATCTGCTGTATAGAGATATGATGTTGACCAATGACGAGGAGGCGTGCTCCAGAGCTCAACTGATTAGCGCCAGTTTTACGAGCGTGCTTCGGATCTTGGACCATCACTACTGGTCGTGGTGGATGACCAATCAGAGGAACCTTCACGTGTATGTTATAAGTCGGGTTTGAGTAAGATATATATTGAGTAGCTGTTTCCGCAAGCATAGTTTGAGCGCAGAGTTCAGTCGGTGCGCCATCTGCTCCAATAGAAAGGATGTTGATACCAGCGTCTTGAGATAATTCCAAGAATTTTGTATGATTTTTGAGTATATCTTCTGAAGTCTCCTTGTCGCAACTAGCAATAAGCGCCACTACAAATGTTGGGACGTTAGGCAAAGGAACCTGTAAAGTGTAGGCTCGCATCTGGTGGAAGGAAATAGATAGATTTCAGCAAATCTACCTGCCTGTTCGAAGGAAAAAGGAAACCACAAAAAAGTAAAGCACTTACTTTAGAACAAAGTTCCTTGTTCTTGATTACATTTTTTACCAGTTCGGGGAGCTCAGAAGGATCACCAAAAGGAATATCCCCTCCTTGCGCGCCAACTAAACAGCCATTATGATATCGAAGGCGCTTGACACACACCGTTTGATCGGAAGCTGCTGCTACTGGACCAGAATAGCCAAGATCTTTCAAGACTTGAGCGATACGTTTGAAATTGTCAAATTGAATACCATCGAGGAGTTGCATTCCTTCTCTGGCTCGGATCATTCTGAGACTTCGAGTGCTACGTCCCGCAAAGTTGTCGTTGAAGAGATTCAGAGCGCGCGGGCTGATAGCGCCGAGCGTCATGACAAATTCGTCGAGGCACAAATCAATCTTCATACCTCGGGTAGTCTTGCCGGCATTCTCGCGTTCAGCTTTGACTGCAACAGCCTTGATCAACCCGCGTGTTGCATCCCGATTGGCAAATAAGCCATTTCGAGCTGAGGCAGCAAGAACCGTGCAAAACTCGGAGAAATCTCCCTTTGAAGCCTTCTCAATCGAAGTTGACAAGAGACGTGCATCTTTAGACTTTAGTACTGTAGGTGTAAATGCGTTGATGTTATCTGACATGTAGTTATCGCGGCCATACTTGATCGTTTCAGATTCAGCATACTTCATATTTAGGGCTTTGATCAAGCTACGCAGATGTTTGAGGTCTTCACAAGCCGGACAGACCGCGTTCTTGATGGTTTTCTTGGCCATAAAAGTTTTACTACACTGGCTAGAGTAGATTGAATTGCGGTCTCCGTGGCGCTTGATCTGCCATTTCGATCGAGCATCTAGAGTAGTGATCAATTGAGATTTCTGAGCTGGAGTCAACTTGCTCTCTTGAGCAAGTTGGCCGAAAAGTTCTTGGCAGATTTCGTGTCGAACGTTGCCACAATAGATCGAGAAAGATCTGGTGACGAAGGTTGCAATGGACTGTACAGCTCGGTCTTGTTTCCATGTATCGTTGTTGAGTCCCGGACAGTCGAGTTCAATCGTGTTCTTAGCAGTTACCGACCTTCCAAAATAAGATGTTAACTCGGTAGTCTCCTTGAGGTCATCAGTTTTCTCTTTGCATGCCTCTGTTACAAACAAAAAGAACATCAAAAATAGGTAAAAGAAAATCAAAAATCCGTACCAAGATGAACTATTATCAATAGCAAAATCACTTACCAGAGGCCCAGTGATTTTTCGCAACTCTAACACGACCACCGTTTAGCCAGATTCTTTTGGCACCACAATGGCAAGCAAGATCTTTGCCTCCAGGGCGGTCTTCCACCTGGCATCGGGAGCAGTTCTCGCCGGGTTTCGATAAAGGGCACAGTTCGATGATCTTGTGTTTCTTTGGGAAAGAACCTCCGGTAAGATTCTTCGGGAAAGTACCTCCGATGAATACCGGATCACTGTCATCGTCTGATTTGTGGTGTTTTTGATTGTCAGAGGATAAAACTATGATTGTCAATTGCTTGGTACTAGTAGAAGCTGTTCGTAGCTGCTTGGATGGACGCTGTAGGGTCTCAGAGGTCTTACGTTTCTCGCGGCTAGGTTGTTTGTCAGGATTCTTATCGACAGCTCCCGCATCTGATTTGAGTTGTATATAAAATTCTCGAATCAGTTACATACACAAATGTTGAATCATGAAGACTGCTCAAGCTAAAAACTCACCTATAAGCGCGGTTATGATGTTGTCGAGCTTGATCTTGACAAGTTTGTCAGAATCAGCATCCCATGTGTGATGCTTTCGAGCATCCTTGATCCATATGACCACCATCGGAAGTCCAAACCGCCCTTTCAATATGTTTTGATTGATACAATCTTTTCCGTATACAGTATCGAGATTGCTATTTACTGAATACCACATTCCTTCATCGGGATCGGCGACTGCAGCATTAGAGAAAGTCATGTAGGTTGGATCTTTACGAGTCCCTTCTCGAAGACCAGGGCAGTGGTTACACAGCTCTTCAATCTTTTGTAGAGTTTCATTGAATGATAACATGTTTCACGCGGGTTTACCTGGGTTTACAGTGGGTGTATGCAGGGCAGCGGTGTTTGAGGGCGTTTGTGGCTGTTGTTGGATCTTTGTGAATTGATGAATAAGCTTTAAAAAGTTTGTTCATCAGGATTTTCAGGATTTTTTCGGAGAAGTGCGAAGCTTGCGGAAGCTTGCGGATGTGTGAATTGATCGAGAGAGGGGGCTTGGGGAAACCTAACCCTAGAAAGTCCCCTTCCAGGTCACCCACATTAAATCTTTGAACCTCAAAAGTCCCCTTTCACGTCACCCACATTTTGGTGAAATTTGGCCAAAAGTCCCCTTTTTGGTCACCTACATATGACCAAAAGTCCCCCGAAAAGACACCTTTTCCGTCACCCACATCGACCGGTGCATTCCAGGGTCCTCCAGAACGACATTGGAAATCACGTTGGAAGATTTGAGCTGTTTTGTGCTTGGTCTCACAGCTGGTTAAATAGGGACTGGGCGACGCTCTGCAAAGTTGCAATTCAACGGTAGTTGAAATATTCTTCTCAGCAGTTCAGCCGCTGTTCAGTCAATATCAAATTTCCCAATTTTTATTAGTCAACTTTTTGGCACTAAAAAAAATAGGGTGGCGCACAGTGGCATCCAACCATCTGATGAGCTCTCTGTTCAAAATTTCCTCCCCTGCCCAGCCAAAAGCCCCTGGCAAACGCTTCGGGATAGCCTCCCAGATAGGCTTATATACCTTTCACAGACTGACCTGTGGCACCGGGGAATCCCGTGGGTGTGCCCACCGGGGAGCCGGATCAGGATGTGTTCCTTTGGCTCTTGGTCCTCATCCGGCACAACTCGTTTGGTTTACGATGGATGTCTCCTTCCTCTTGATCCCGCTTGGCTTCTGCATCAGCCACACACAGGCCCATGCGTGTGGGCATCCTCTTAGGTGAGCCTTTCTGTTTGGTCTCTCTAGGTTGTGACTGCCAAACTAAAGTTTTTTCGGGTATAAGACAGGCCAGCTTGAGACCGAGGATGGATGTCTTCCAAGTTAACCACCGTCCTTTTTTTCAGATAAGGCCTTGACTCAATTTTATATTGGATACCTTATCTTATTTTTGATTTAATACAAGTTAACTTCTTATTTGATCACTCAAAGTATCTTTTTCTTTCAATATTTCATAATGAATCACCAAGAATCGAGATGCAATGGATATATCGGCGAAATGGGCGGGAGTTTCAGTGCAATTGATGGTAGAGTGAGTTGATTTGTGGAATTCGATCAGTTTTACCATTGCAATAATTCAGCCGACTTTCCCATAGCCGTGGCAGGGGTCAGTGTCAAATTCACCAATGCATTTGGGTTCGCGTCATCCCCCAGACAATTGTGAGTTTCATGTTTCCGTCCTATACTGTCTTACGGGCTTCCCAGCTGACCGATGTGTTACCTTTTCCCTGGCCAGTGGTTCAAGTAGCTCCAGGCGAGTTCTATACGGTGCGTGAGGTCGAGGAAAACGGATGGTGTCTGCCAGCTCGAGTACCAGCCAAGATCCCCGCCGTTCCTGATCATCCAGCAAGCCCTGGTACCCAAACGGGCCCAGTTTCATCACTCAAGTCGGTGAGATCTAGTTTGAAAAGACCGGCACCCAGCAGTCCAGTACAACATGTTAACAAGCGAGTTGCAACGTAAGCACTGCCTTCCATTCCATTCTCTATGGCTTTTCCTTTGATGTTGATTCTCTCTGACTATCATACCATTCCTTTTAAATGTTGTGCATCATGTTTGTCTAGGTCTCAAACAAGTACCGGAACAGTACCACTTGATGGGCCCAATCAAGTCTATTCCCCGTACATTCTTCAATCTATTTCCTTTAAACGAGTAAACTTTCTGACTATCTTCTGTGATCAATTTCTTTCAAATGATGGCCCTCCGGCTTGAATAGTCTTAATCCGAGTATTGGGTTAGTAATCTATGTTGTTTTTTCTCTTATCACTGTGTACTGATGTTTGTTTGGACAATCCAATATCTAGGTTTTCCACCTCTTTGGCTTCTACTAGCAATGGTGCGGTAACCAAGATGACCAACATATCTGAAGTGGCTCAGTGTCCCAACTTCTGGGCGATGCCGGTGCACGCGCTGTACGAGTGGCGAAGGCATGTCAACATCCTCGATCGCACCATTCTGGGGTATTACGAGCAAGCTTTGGATGAGGCGGAGAAGGATTTGGACCGAGCGGCATCTGAGCCCGATGTTCTTGACACATCCATTGTAACTCCTTCTGGACGACCCTCAGCTCCCCGATCTGGTCGCAAACGCTCGGTGAAAGATGAGACTCCGGCTCCAGGCGGATCTGGTCCTGCTTTTAAGTTCCTAAAAGCACGACCTGACCGTTTGGATTTGCTTTTCATGCGTGCTTTGGAAGCTCTTAGCCCATTTGGGTCGAATGGGCAGAAGGGTAAAGTTTTTCATGAATGCGCCATCTGGCTAAAAGTAAGTCAAAATCTTGTTACTGTGTAGTTCACACCCTTATTGATCTTTTTACTGTTTTCAAGACTGATCTAGAAACCCATCGGGAGTTTGCCGAGCTTTCCGAAAGTCCCCACAGTCGAGTGCTTCAATTCCGATACACTCAGCTCAAGCTTTGGCTTGCAGCTGCCGAAAGCTGGAGCAAGATGGACAGTGGGACTGAAGAGGAGGATGAAGAGTTGCGCAATTTGATACGCTCAGTTCAGGACGAGGAGGAAGTAAGTTTTCTTTTTATCTATTTCACTCTATCACTCTATCACTCTCTAGCTTTCTGACTATTATATAGTTACTCTCGTTCTATTGCGGAAAACCTAGGCCGGCCGTTCTCTTAAATTGGCTTGTAAGGAGGAACGCGAGGCGGTTAAAGGCCGCTCTCTCCTTGCGGAGGCTGTTCGGGAAGAATTTGCAACCAAGGCCGTCCAAAACCTCAGAGCCTCTGTTAGCGATGGAGACGAAGGTCACACAACTCCCAGTGCCTCAAGAAAAGCGAAACGATTGAGTCCATCCAATGCAAATGCGAGCACGGATGAATTGACGGCTTTCACTGGCGAGCTTAGTAGGTGGAACGAGGTGTCTTTAGCTGCTCAGGCTGAACAAAACACACGCATCAACGACCTTTACGAGCGCGAACTTGTCATCGCTCCCGAACGAAACGAAAATGATCGCCTCATAGCTCAGTCCCTAGCTGATCATCGATCGGCTGAACTTGCTTTACAGAAACAGCGTTTGGATTTTGATCTAGGTCAAGTTAACTCCTCCAAAAACTCATTAGACACACTTCAATCCAAATCAGCGCAATGAGATGAATACATCTA